CATAAATATAAACATTTTGTTTGATCATAGGCTCACATGCATGCAAACTAATACAAATTTAAAAAATGACATTTTGGGATTTTTGGGGGGGAATCTGTGATGCTTTTTTCAGGATTCATTGATGAATGAAAACTTGTGAACAGTGTTTATTCAAAATAGAAATCTTTTCTAACAATATAAGTCTTTACTAATACTTTTTATTAATTTAACACATCCTTGTTGAATAAAACTATGTATTGTTAAAAAAGGATTTCTATTTTAAATAAATGCTGTTCTTTTTATAACTCTTTATTAATCAAAGAATCCTGAAAAAAATCACAGGTAATAAAAAAAACAACAATATTAAACAGCTGTTTCCAAAAACTGACTATAAATAAGCATATTAGAATATTTCTGAAGAATCATGTGACACTGAAGACTGGAGTAATGATGTTCAAAATTTAGCTTTGCATCACAGAAATACATTATATTTTAAAGTATATTAAAACAGAAAACCATTATTTTAAATTGTAATACCAGTAATACTGCACAATATTACTGTTTTGGTCTGTATTTTTGATCAAATAAATGAAGGCTTGATGAGCAAAAGATATGCAATGTTTAAAACATTAAAATAGTAATGTTTCCAAACTTTTGTCCAGTACTAGCAGAAAGAGCATCACAGTTTGAGCTAGTTTATACCTCATAAATTGTCAATGAAATAGTGCTAACTCGCTTAGATTTTTCATATCTTGATTTTACTGGCTAGCTAGCTACTGTAAAAACACTTTTTGGTATTTACTAGTTAAACTTGAATCCCATAGATCAAAAATATGTAGAATATCAAAACTTAGATGTAGTATTTGGGCTCAAATGCAGCAAGTGTGGCTTCAGAGAAAATGGAGGGGAATCCCCCTCTTAGGTGACTAGAGGGGATTGTGTGTGGGGGAGGGTCATTTTTAGACTTCTGTTTTATTATTATCTCACCTAAATGTTTGTTCCAGTCTATGGTTTGTTCAGTCAGTGTATTTGTTTTTACAATGGTATAGTCTAATTTAGTTGCACAGTATATTACACAAGGAAGTTTTAAACAATTTTTTGTAATATTTATGTAATTTACATGAATACTTACCAAGATGGACATTTTGATATTCTGTGTGCAGGATTTAAGAAATGATCTGTTCATGTTATGGAGGAAAGCACAGTGCAGGTAGGGTGTGTGGCCTCAATAGCCCTGCAGTAAACTGTGTGCATGTGTGCATGTGATTGAGCAATGTGTAGGGTAGAAATTAAACTGAAATTACATTAAATCAGGTTGTTTTAACCAAGATTATGCTGCAAGAATTGTTCTCAACTACATTTAAATCCCCCGTTCCTGTAATTTTGCAAATTTCCAGTTTATTCCCATATATTCCCGTTAATTCCCATATTTTCCCATTAATTCCCATGGAAAGTTTCCAGTCTTGAAAATTCCCGGAATTTTGCAACCCTAATCCCATTCAACTAATATAGAGTGAATTAATATAGGGTATGTGGAATTCAGTATTGATATTACTGTAACATTATTGCAGTGTGAAAAAAAAAAGTCTTAGGACCTCTCTTTCTGCATCTGGATCCTGATCATCCTTTCAGCTTTTATTTACGGATATTGACCAGCTCACCGTACATTATCCTCAAACACACTCGACTTTCCGTAACACCTGCTTCCAAACAACAGACACTCCCACAGAGATCAAAATCAATACATGAATTATTCTATAATATAATTATTGTATTCTATAATTCAATAATTAATAATTGTTACTCAAATTATGTTTAAAACAAAACAGATATTGTATATCACTATTAATACATAACATTGACAAGAAAGAAAGAAAGAAAGAAATTATTAATCCCTAAGGATATTACTATGCCAGAGGATGTTCGTTTAAAAAAAAAAAGTTTAACAATAAAACAAGGTATAAACAGTGAAGAAATACATAATAGAATAAAAATAAATAAAAACTAGAAAAAAATTCAAAGCACAGAACTCCTTGTAAACTAGTGTGGGGTCCACTGTAAAAGAAATTATTAATTATTTAAAGTAAAACTTTAGATAAGGATGGAAGCTGCAGCATCAGTTGTTACATCAATCAGAGTTCACAGAGTTGACAGGAAAACTGTGCCTCTGAAATGAGCCCAGGGCCTTAAATTGTCTCCACAGACCCTACAGCTTCTAAAAGCTACACACTTTTTCACTGCATGAATAGGAATAAATGTCATCTACCATCTATTGTGCTTCTTTGAAGCAGTTGCGGAAAGATGAGCAATAAGCTCACTTTGTCATCTGATACGCCTTTAAACTTGGCAGAAATACAAACCCTTAGACAACAGTTTCATGCCATTCTGCTTGGTTGGTAAGTCTTTTATATTTAATTGCTTTTTATTTGAGTCACACATGAGGTTAAAAAAGGCAAGCTGTAGAGACTTGCCAATTTAAAGATATCATTGTAGATTTGTTACTGTCATTTTTTTAACAGTTTTGAAGGTAGTGAAACAAGGAGGTTTAAACAAAGCTTTAAGATCAGTTAGATACTGCATACTTATAAGTTATATATACACTTGAGTGTGCTTTAAATCAAAAACCGTCTCAACATCTCTGGAAAATGGTGCTCAGCACAAGCATTCAGTGCTGAGACTCCACAGAGTGGAAGTAGTAAGTGTGTTTTAAAGACAAATAAAAAGCCTCATGATTTCGATGAACACATCTCCCTTTTTCTCCTAATCTTTTGTTGTTTATTTCCTCCCCAATTGCATCTTTTAATATGCAAACCTTTTCTTAGACTTACTTTAGACAAGAAAGTATGCAAGAATATGTATAATTGTTTTTGTCTATTTTCAGAATTTACTGCTTGATGTTATATACAGGTGAATAAACACAGGTAACCACAACAAACATTTGTTTTGCCAACAAATAAAGCAAAGCATTCCTTCAAGCTCTAATGCTAATGCATGAAGATTTGCTATGGTTTGTGTCGCATCATCTGTTATTCAGCATCGACTGCAGATAAATAATCCAACAATCAGAAGTGTGCTGTATTCAATTACCGACCTTCCCAAAACCAACACATTAACAAACAAACAGCACAATTAATTAGAAATAAGGAAACAAACCAAAATAAAAAAGGATTTATTGAATTTGCTCAACAAACAATTAAAATAATGTATAAATTGTCGACTAATTCGCATTTAATGTACATACTTAAAAGGCTGTTTGCTTTTTTATGTCAATACCATACCGTTATTTTCTTATGTAGCTTTTGTAAATTAACTGGCAATGCCAGTCTGGCACATTTTGTTTCAATACACTGGCACATTTGAAATATTCCTGGGGTTTAAGCACCCAGTTTACTGTACATAATGACTTTACCTTAGCATTGCAACAAATCAGCCAGTGTGGCGTCTCACTATGCTACTGTTTATGCTATAATATTATTTCCACTGGCAAAAGAGAATAAAATGTCAGCCATAGCTGACTGTCTTAAAATAAACCTGAAAACATGCTGTTGAGAAGTTGTTGGAAGCGTGCAGCTTTGTTGTGCCTGCCATAGGCATCACATTGACCTAAATTATAAAGTCAATCTGTAACTGTTAAGGATGCCATATTCTTACAGCAGCTCGGCAGGGCTACATGTACGAGTTACTGTTTGCCCTATGGAGAGACTGAAGCATGTGCTTTTTTGCATCTTGAATGCTGATAAAAGGATGTTATGCATTTTTACTCTGGGGCAAAACCCCACTGCTCATCCTGATCCCTGACCCATTTCTGTTGCAGCCAATCAGCACACAAACTCATCATAATTAAACTGTGACTCTCTTAGTAGGATTAAAATGTTTTCCTTGTATTTATTTATTTTATTATTTTCCTATCCAAAAGGAACTATTCAAGTTTGTACTTATATAGAATAAATGAACTGTATATTTGTGTACCACTCAGAAATCATAATAAAAAAAATAAAAATAAAATAAAAAATAAAAGAATAAAAGGGTTCAGGTGCTGAATTAATCCACGCCAAATCAATGAAACAAACCTGAGTAATCAACCTAGAATAACAACTGGACCCGAACTTGGACGCTGGCTGAGCACTGCAGGATAAAACAATCAAAGCTTTATAAAGACAGAGAGGGTAAGACACATTTATAGATTATGTATGAGAGCTGATGAGCAAATAATTAAACATTTATATAAATTACAGTTTTTTAGTGATTGACTGAATATTTTATTAGCCCTCATGTTGACATTTTCCAAGGAGGATGTTTGAACCAAATTATCAATTCTGGGTTTCATAAGACTTAGACATATTGGAAGTCATAAATGATCAACCCTGCAATTCAATGTTGACAATGTTTTTGAGCTATTAAACACAAGGGTTAAATTGTAACATTCCACTATGATCAGGAATAAATGATATGCTGCAGACTTTATTTGTGGTTTATTTCACCTGCATTTCCTTTTTTTTCTTTTGTCTTTGACCTCACCTCTTTAAATATTTAGGAAGCGCGAGTTGTCACTTTCAACACACATCATGTATCACTTTGAGTTTGAGGAAACATACATAGTGTATACATACATACTGTACTATACCATAGGGTATAATTTTGTCAGGAAGATTGTTTTATGGTTTTGAAAGAAGTCGTATATGCTCATCAAGGCTGCATTTATTTAATCAAAAATTAAAAACTGTAAAAACTGTAATTGTCACGAATCCTGTCCATGGACTTCTGTTCGCTTGCCACCAGAGGTTGCTCTCCCGTTATATAGACACTCACACACACAGATTGTCACACATCACCCTGGACTACATTTCCCATGTTTTACTGCACTGATTACGCACTCACCTGCAACCAATAACACACACTTTAAATACGCGGCCCTAACCACAGTTCAGGGCCGAGTATTGTTTAGCATTTATCACTGTGTCAGCGGTAGCTACTTTATGGAGCCATTCCATGTCTTGCCTAGTCCTAGCCTTAAGCCGGGTTTCCATCCAAAGTTGCGAATTTAACTTATGCGCAAAACTGGAATATTGCATAAAACATTTGCGAACAAGCATCGTTTCCATCCAACAAGTCAAAGAGAACAAAATCGTCACTTCCTGATAAACTGGCACTATAAATCACTAAAAAAAGTAGGAGAATATAATCATTTTCATATATAATAAATTACATGCGCCTCAGAGCGAGCAGACGAAACACTATGAATGCGGTCATTGCTTTCGGAGGTGGATGTCTGCTGTTTGGAAACGCATCATGCAAGACATTTCTGGGAGGCAATTATACAGAAATACTTTGATGACAGACTTTGCTTGTGCATTTCTGAATGACTAACAACATTTCAGATGCTGTGGAATGAGATTGGTCCGCTGGGTCACTTCCTGATAAACTGGCACTATAAATCACTAAGAAAAGTAGGAGAATATAATAATTTTCATATATAGCGCCTCGGAGCGAGCAGACGAAACACAATGAATGCGGTCATTGCTTTCGGAGGTGGATGTCTGCTGTTTGGAAACGCATCGTGCAAGACATTTCTGGGAGGCAATTATACAGAAATACTTTGATGACAGACTTTGCTTGTGCATTTCTGAATGACTAACAACATTTCAGATGCTGTGGAATGAGATTGGTCCGCTGGTTAGTCAGGTTTTGCCGTCCCATAGCGCAAAGTCACATGACGTTTTTGATGCACTTGGAGGAATTTATTTGCATTATTCGCATCAACCCTTTTTTTTTTTTAAAGTCAAAAACCACCTCAAGCGAGCGTAAAAACTTTTTTGCGAATTAAGGGATTTTTATTCGAAATTTGGCATTTCCATCACTCGTTTCTCATGCGATACTTCAAAATGCGCATTAAAATAGGGTGATGGAAACATAGCTTTAGTCTTGTTCATAGTCTGTTTACCCGTGTCTTGATCCTTGCCTGTTATCTCGTTTTGGTCTGATCTCTGCCTGCCCTGAACTATATCGCCTGTCTTGGATTACCCCTCTCATCTCGCCCTGTTCGGATACTGTTAACCCTTCGCCTGAACCATCGCCTGTGTTTCGGTTTACTCTTCAGTCTTGCCCTCTATATACCTGTCTGCCATTGTACAACTCTTGCCTGTGTTCACCATGTCTTTAAATAAAGCCTTGCAGATGGATCCGCACGTCTCTTGTCTCATTCGCCCCTTTACAGTAATATTGTGAAAAATTATTACAATTTAGTTTTATATTTTAAAATCTTGTAAATGTAATTTAATCCTGTGATGGCAACGCTGAATTTTTAGCAGCCATTTCTTGAGTCTTCAGTGTCATATGAACACTTAGAAATCATTTGAATATGCTGATTTGGTGCCTTAGAAACATTTCTTATTATCTATTTTGAAAACCTTTGTTCTGCTTAACATTTTGTGGACAAACTTCATTGTTCTCTCTCTCTCTCTTAAGATTCTTTGATGAATGGAAAGTACAAAAGAACATCATACTGTATATTTGTAATAAAAACATTTTGTAACTATAAATTGTAGCAAATTAGCTCAAAAGGGAAATGTAGATAAATAATTACAATTAATTATAATTAATTACAATTATTTACCTCCGCTGCCAGTAGTAACTGTAGCAGAATTAATATTACAATTAACTAATCTGTTCGTCCAGCGAATATTCAATGTAATTTCAAATCAACTCTAAGAAAGGATATTTTCGTGGCCACAGAAAATAACTTTCTTACAGTACCAATGCATTAGAGTATGTAGCTATAGATCGGATCATAAAAGGGACACTATTCACAAGCGGTGACAGAACCAGAAACTCATGTAATTTGTGCACAAAAGTTTTATCAACTATACACTAACACATAACTAATCTAAACAAACAACATACATCACTCATACATGGGTGGAGTTTAAATGGATGAACGAAAGCCGTTAGAGAAACCAGAGAATGCAGTTATGAAAAATGAGTGCGTTAACCACCTGAGTGAAACCATCAGCGCGGTTTTAGAATGGGGACTACAGCTTATTCTAAACCTCTGTTTCGTTTAGTTAAATGTACGATACTTGCATTGCCTTGGTCGTTGAACGAGCATCCAGATGCAGTCTCGGATGAAAGTCTTGATGATTTGGAGGTTAGGTAGTGTTGAAGTCGCGATCACGTTCTTCCGGGTTTGAAGAGTGATGAACTCCAAAAAGATGTTATTCTGACTCTGTGGTGGTCGGGAGAGTTTTCTCTGAGATGGAAAGTGATAAGAAAAGAGCGCAGAGCTAGAGAGGCATCAGCTGAGATCCGAGGATCGTTGGTGAATGGAAAGACAAGGCCGCAGCCTGGCAAAAACTTAGGGGTTCTTCGAAGACTCTAGCTCAGCATCTTCACCTTCTCAGAATCTAAACAAACCTAGACTGGAGGCGGGCCACTGATGTGATTGCCTTTATCTTCTATCGAGGTCACACCTCTGGGGAATCAAAGAGCCAATGGTGTCTTGAACTTTTGGAGGGAAAGTTTACGACTCTTTGATTTCAAGCATGGTATTTTATGTAACTAGATTGGATGTTGATAAACAAACTATTAAAGATTCTTAGAACATTAATATGTTGCATAGGTCTCAACATATAATATACACTCTAGTTTAAATCATCAGAATGTGAATTCATAGAGACCAAACATGGTATAAGTGAGGTGATATTAACTAGTGATCTATCATAAGCATGCATAAAACAGTATACAATACACAAGACCATATACAAGAATGTAATAATCATACACAATGACCTGGGGATAGGCATGATAGGAAGGTCATAGAAAACTCTCTATGAATTAATGAAAGAAGTCATTTCCTATAGCAGTATGTGTCTGTTTTAGAGAGAATTAAGTAGGAGGGGGGAAGATTCTCCCTACATACTTTTAGGTCATAAAGTTTATCTGGTCTGGCTGAGGTGCCCTGGTTGCCATGGTAACCAGGGGCCTGGAGGTCGTTCCCAGACATTTAAGCACCTCTAGAGTCTGGGGTTTGGGTGAGGGGGGTTGCTGGATTATTAATTAAATATAATGAATACATGTGTGTCTGATTAGTCCAAACACTACAAAATTATAATTAGAAATGTCTTTAACTGTCACTTTTGGTCAATTTTATGCATCTTTTCTGAATAAAATTGTTAATTTCTGAATAATAATAAAATATAAAAATTAAACCTTAACTCCAAATTTTTTAGTGTTAATAAATCAGATATTGCACACTAAGTTAGAAATTATACATAGTTTTAGCCATTAAATAACCATGTTGTTGAGACTGAATTAAAGGGATAGTTCACCCAAAAATGAAAATTTGATGTTTATCTGCTTACCCCCAGGGCATCCAAGATGTAGGTGACTTTGTTTCTTCAG